CTATCTATTTACTCCTCGCGGTGACGGGCTCTCTTTGTTTATAGTCAGTTTTCAAGCAGTTATACGAGTCGGAGTTTCGTGGTGGCCACCGTTGTAGTTTTAGTTCTCGTGTTTTTAAAAGTTTTTATTTTTCCGCGTAGACATTCGACGATTTTAACATTTCGCGTGGACAATCGATCAGTTTTATGAATAGTTTTTAAGTTATAATGTGTGCCTGCCTGAGGATGCCCCCCATGCGGGGCGAAACGTTGCGGATGCGTAGGAACTAATGTTTCGATTTTTTTATGGCTGCAAGCTGAATAAATAAGGTAAATTTCCTATAAATATTACAGCCATTTTATCTTGATATATATATATGCTACCAAAGGCGCCATTTCCATCATGTTTTGTGGATCAGATAGAGGCGTTGTTACATGATAGAGGGAGAAATCATTATACCGGTTGTCCTAGATTTAGTTGAAGTATATCAGATATGCTGAGTCAAATATCAATCAGATACGCTTGCCGCCCTATTCAGAAAGACAAATGAGCGAGATTCAGAGGGTGATGCTGAAATCAATTTATCAATACAACGCGCTAAACGGTCTTATAGACATTCAAATGTGTCCACTTTGAATAGGTCAAAAAAGGCTTTCCTCTTATTTTAGGACTTGTGGCCGTAACACTAGCTTCCTCCGTATGGGCTGGACTCTCATACACTATGGTTAATGGTCGGATTGATGAATTACGTAAGGAACATAAATATCAAATGGAGTATTTGCGTAAAATACAGATGATAAAAGATAAAAGGCAAGAAATGGAGTTCATGGCGATACGTAGGCAATTTCTTCACACGTCTCAGGGCGTGCGCGAGCAAACATGTATGATGGCTGCTAACATCACAAAAATGATAATAGAGTCAAAATTCTACGACGAATTTGATGATTTAATAAACTCACTAAAAGATGAGAGAGTCATCAGTAAAATATTCCCACCGGCTACTCCCCCCGGGGAAAATTCATGGGAAAATAATTAACATTTTAAATATAAAGCCATGGGAGTCGAACCCTGCAAAAAACAATACTCCAGTGAAAACCGGCAAAATCTTTAAATTTACTCTAAAAGATGAGACACGCACGATTCTGATAACTGCCTTCAATGAAAATGCAGAAGATCTCAAAGACATTATTGCTCTAAATAAAACGATCTCCTTCGAAAATGGAAAAATAAAGGATGCATATTGTAATCAAGATCATCCTTTTGAAATAACTTGTACAAGAAACACAAGTGTAAAGGAAATACCTTCAAATTTAGTAAGAGTTGACAACGTCGTTATAATTTACACTGATCTCGAAAAAATTAAAACATTACCACCAGGTGGGATTGTAAGTGTGAAAGGAACTATTAACAAAATTTATGGCGTTGATCCTATATGGTCTCCGAATCACAACAGAAATTTTGACAAAAAAATTTTCACTATCAAAAATGCTGCAGGGTATGTTTTGGACATAGATCTTTGGAATAACAATTTCAATTTGATAACCGAAGAAAATGTTGGTAAAAGAGTAAAAATAATTAACGGCTCTGTTGCCATTTTTAATGATAGTCCATCGATAAATACTTCTAAGGGGAGAATAGAAATTTGTTAAGTATTCATCACTCCTTCATCTGCAATTTACTCTGAAGAACCTTAGAAAAAATATTCATTTCTTCTTGTTCATTTTTCAATGTCATTAGGTTTAGGGATTTCTATCAAAATTCGATTAAGTAATCCATTGTGATTTTGTGATTCTCATTTCATTCATTGTGATTTTATACTTGTAGTCTTGTAATATTTTGATTTTCCATTGTTGCTTTTTCTACTACCTTTTCAGTTTTGTTCTGCTACCTAATTATAAAATTTAAGAGTTTAAAATATATGACGTTTTTAGTTTCAAAATATTTCTTTTCATTTTTTCAGTTTCGATGCGACTTGAATCTAAACATCAACTTACAATACCACTGCAACTTGTAAAACAATTTGAGAAATGCATGGCAAAAGGACCTGCAGTAAGGCTATGTGGCATCATAGCCTTACTCAATAGGGTGTGTGCCCGACCTGGCAACGGGGCACCCACAGACAGACAGGCCACTAGCCAGAGCCAGGCCCTTCCTGTTCAAGTCGTGATCTCGCTATAATAAACATCTTTGAGTGATCATCAGCGTCTCATTTATTTCGGCTACCGACCCACATCAGGACCAACCATAATTTGCATGACTTGCGGTTGTCTATTCTTTGAACGAGGAATTCTGTATGTATCCAAAGTTGAAAATGTAATAAGGAATCGTCAAGTACCAATGTCTGATATACAGTTTGTGAAAAATACGAAGGCCATATGTCATCGATGCTTGTCACATTTAAAGAAAAAAAAACTCTCCCCAATCGTTTTGGCAAATGGTTTAAATTTCCCGGATGTTCCAGATAGCGTTACGAATCTATCTCTTTTAGAAGAAAGAATGGTCAGTCCATTTGTGCCGTTTATGCAGATCAAAGAATTGCTACCAAATGCTTTAAATTCTCAGCTATGTATCAAAGGATCCGTGGTCCATGTGCCAATTAATCTTAACAATGTTTTTCAACAAATCCTTCCCAGATCTTTTAATGAAATGTTTATTCTTAGGATCAAATTTACAAGATGCATGGCTCACTCGACTGACTACATTTTTGAAACAATTCGACCATATAAAATTTTAAAAGCACTAGAGTATTTAGTCACTACACCCCTCTATAAAAAACACAATATAACAATTTCAACAGAATTTTTTAATCGATACAACAATCACCCAAATTTAAGAATAAATGGTGTTTGTGATACAGAAATTATGGAATATTTATGCGAATTGTTGGAAAACTTATCATTAAAGGAATTAGTACATGAAGATGAAGTTGCAATAGAGGATGATTTAAATTACCAAAATAATGATGAAGAAATCCTAGTACAAGACAACAATATCATCACCAGCTGTAGAGGTCAAATATCAATTGCACCTGGTGAACATATGAAGCCAATTTCAGGGAACACAGAGGATCTAGAAAGTCTATGTCACCCAAAAATTTATGGTGGATTTGGATATTCAACTAAAACTAGGGTTAGTTACCATGATCAGGCAAAATCTGAAATATAAGTTCCCGTACCGGGAAAAACCCATTGCATGACACCATATACGTCAAATCACCCTACTTAATTTACCATACCCGAAGATTTTCCTTCAATTTACATGAAGTTGAAGCAGGGGGAGATATAGTTAGAGGAGCCCTTCAGCTGCCTCTAATTAGGAGCACTCAAGATAATGCCATTAATATCATGGTAAAAAAATGCATACTATATTTAAGGTTTTTAATCCCATTTTTGTGACTGCACATACGCAGCAATCGGTAGAGAATTGTAGGAGAGAGCACAACACATATTATTGTGCTGAATCGGACTTGATTCCAGCGAAAATGAGGCCCCTAAACTCAGACGTCTACAGTCATGAGGGTATGGTTATACTAAATGACAAGCAACAAGCAAACATTAAAAATAAGCGTAAAAATGACTCCTTGCAACGGATTGTCGGACCGGCCATCTGCACGAGTGATGACGCCAACATGTGGATCCTTGACAATAAAATCCTATTTTTAAGTGCATTTAATAGTTTCCAAATCAAATCGGAAACACCCTATGAATTCGACGTAAAAAAAATCAAATTTAACATAGAGGCCAATCCATCAATTTCTACATATGCAGCCTCCAACACCAAACACCCTGCAATGCACCAAAACAACCCTTGCAAACAAATCCCAAGACGAGAGTCGTATTTTGTTCGACGAAACATGATTTCTGTTTTCTGTAATTCGCATCACTTTTTTACGCAACCAATGGGAGTGGAGCTGCCAAAAGTGAGGTTAGAAATCCTGTTCCTTTTTTGTTACAGCTGAAACAGTCCTATTTTTTTTACTGTGTAAAATTTTTGTTTTCCGCGAGGAGCGCTGCGTATTGATTTGTTTGTTTACTTTTCGTTTGTAGACAAAAGTGTCAAGGAATAGAGAGAAGTTTTGTGAATACCGCCGTTAGTCATGGAAATATATATCATTAATAATATAGTAAATCGACGAAGAAGGATAAGGGATCGGATCGTCCAAATGATGCTTCCACAGAATCATCAGCAGATGTATCACGCTATCATCAAAACCTAACCTATCCGCACCCTAAGTTCTCCAAGTATGACTGTCTTACTATTTACTTTGGAGAAAATTAAGTCATTTAAGTTCTTTCTCTATCTCAAACAATTCCAAGTTCTGGAACAAAGCCTAGCAGCCCATGAGAGTTAAGCAGGAAACTACCTCTGAGTGTTTACTGGTTAAAGCGCGAGACGGAAGTCTCAAGTTTCGAAACGTCTCCACTCCTGAACGATAGCCTCAGACAATGAAGAGCGAAAGATAAGTTGTAGAAGCAGAGGGGGTGATTGATAATAGTCCCTCGAAGTTCAGCGAAATTGTCTGGAACACACTTGGTGCAGTGATAAATCCAGCACTTTCCAAAACATGCTCCAAGTTCAATTACCTGAGTTGTTAAACGTGTAAGTCAGGTAAGTGATGAAACAAAACACACAGCTAATTATTAATGCTGCTTGGTCTATCAGCAAATAAAGAAACCTCTATTTAAAAGATAATCAATAACAGTTTTATACATTTTCCTTTGTTGCTTTTCATCTAATGCCTTGGTCTGATTTTCCTATTTCAGATATGTGAATGATTGGCTTATCGATTACTGTCCATCTGATTTTTAGATCTGATTTAGATTTTTCATCTGATCTTAGAAGAAAGCACCTTTCCGGCACCGTTACAGCCTCCAACATCAAACACCACTCTCGAAGAAGCCCGCAAACAACAGTACAACCCAAACTCCATTTTGTTCAGAGCAACCGCCGACCACAAAATTTTAAACACCAGAAATCACCAGTCGAGAAGCTGCACCAGATGGAGGCTAATCGAAATTGACTACCAACGACCGCAAAGGCACGCATCTGTAACCTTCCATCCCGGCTACAGAAAACACATGAAAGCCTTCCTGAAGGAGCAAAAGCGACGTAACAAGATTTTCAACCAAACAACAAAACCCCCGAAGTACCGTACCAACCCACTGCAGTACGATCCCTAGAGCCCAGCTCTCTAACTTAAACAAAAAGCATTTAAATTAGAAAGGAAAAACCGCTAAATTCAAACGAAACACTGTAAAAGCACAAATACACACCACCACNTGGATTATTCCTGTTCTTATTAAATGTTCTTGTTATTAACCATTTTTTATTTTTAAGTTAATAATCTTCATTGATCTTCGCGAGTGTCTTCACGACTCCCGACGTGAGCGGACGTGCGTTGCTTTTGCTCCGCGGAGCGCCAACTGGTGGAAGTTTAGTGAAGCGTGCTTACAGTGTTGCCAATTGTGCAAGGTAATAAGTGTGTTTTCTATTGTTTGAGCGAGTGTGTTGAAGCGTGGTTGGTGGCGGCAAGGGTGTCTTGTTGCCACATTTTTGCGAGGTTGCCAAATTTATTTTAAATTGCGTGGATTTTGATTGGCTAGTGGTGAGCGTGTGTGTGTAGTCTGTGTGTGAGTGTGTTAGTGTTCGCCACCGACCGTTACTTTTTGAACGGCGGTGGTTAGCGTTGTCTGTGTCTGGGATCCATGTGCGGCGAGGTCCTCTCCGTACACGGATACAGGTTGCAGGAGTGAGTGGACAAGGGTGTTGAGTGTGAAATTTTCTAAGTCCGAGAATGGAGACGCATAAGGAAGGGGATGCCGGCAAGGGACCGGAGGAGGTGTTGTTAGAAGATAGCGAGACGGAAGCTGAAGGGCCAGTGACGATGGATGCAGGGGGAGTCTCGAGTGTGGAGGCGATTGCTAGAGGAATTAGGACGAGTGAGGGTAGATCGATAGGAGGGGAGGATGAGGTGTTTTACACCCCTACCTCTCAGAGAAAGAGATCAAGGTCCTTCTCCGGGAGTCCCAGCGAGGGGCCTGGGAAGTTGGTCCCGGTGGACTCAATGAAAGAATTGGTTATGGAGACCCAAGGTATCATCACGGCAGTGGCAAGGAAAGAGATTAAGAAGATAAGGGATGATATCGCCTCCAAGGAAGTTGAGTTCCAGAAATGGTCTCAAGTAGGAAAGATGTCAGCGAGGGCAATTTCGTATGTCAGGACAAGAATGACGGAGAACAAAAGGATGGTTGAGAAACCGCTGTGGCTTATGGATACAGAGGTTAGGACAATAATGGCGAGGAATAGATACGCATTGAGAGAGGCGATGGAAGTGAAGCTAGAAGTGCAGGAAAAGATGACAGTTGAGCTCGGGAAGATGCAGGAGTACATGGAAAAGAGTGAAAGAGAGAGAGATGAGAAACAAGAAAAGTTCTTCGCAGAGATGAGAAACCTGGTGGAGCAACAGGCTGGGGGTGTATCGAAGGTTGAAGATGTAACTAAGAAAGAGGCTGCTAGAATTATCCAGTTCAGCGAGGAACATACAAAAATAGTTGGTAATGGATTAGCGAAGGTGCTAAACGTGAGCCAAAAGTCTGTTAGCGAGATTAAGAAAGTGGACGACAGGGCGAAGGCTATCCATCAAGATGTTAAGGAAGTGAAAGAAAGTGTGGATGATGTGGAAAAGGCGGTGAAACAGGTCAGTAGAGAGGTAATAAAGGACAGTATGAAGGAGGTGAATATAGTGGTGAATGAAGTGAATAAAATGATGAAAGGAGATGAATGGGCTAAGGGCATGGAAGAGGTAAACGAGACTCTCAAGGTGGTGAAAGAAAGCATGGAAGGAGGTGAGTGGACGAGTGTGGGTGGAAAGGAGAGAAAGAAAAAGTGCTCCCTGCCCGAGACTTATGCGGAAAAAGTGAGAAGTATGCAAAAGGACACAAAGGTGAAAGTGTCTCTGAGAAAAGAAGGGGAGACAGTGGGCAGTATGTCAAAGTTGCTGAAGGAAAAGTTGAACCCCAAGGACCTCGGACTTAAGGTTGAGAGCATCAAAGGAATTAAAAACGGAGTTATCATGGAGATTAATAGCGAGGATGAAGGCAAAGTCCTGGATCTAGTGAAGAATAGTATGGGAGGTGATGTCGAAGTTAAAGGCGTAAAAGGAATTAATCCCCTTGTCAGAGTGGTTGGAGTGGATGAA